CTGCCTGCCTACCGATGCTGGATGTATATCGTACACGGGCCATTGTTACTTTGGTATTTACAGCTTCTTGCTCCAAACGCTCGGCAGACACTTTTGTCCGTTTGCGCGACAAAAAAAACCCCCCAAGTTGTGTTGCGTTGCATTGTGCTCGTCGCGGAGCGCATCGCAGCGTGCTTCTCCCCGGAGTCCGCCCTCTCCCCCTCCCCCACACATCTATTCCTGCTTGGCACAGATACCTTCATCTGCAAGGGGCAATCTTCGAGAGACGCTCTTTTGTTGCGTGGGTAATTTTCCAAATTTAGCTGTCATACTCACCCACAAACGCCCCCCCCCATCCTTTTGCGAGACTAGTCACTTTTTTTTACACCCAAGGACATTAGCAAATAGTGAGCCGGTCTCATTATTTATCTCCAAAGAGCATTGTCAGGGACAGAGGTTGATCGGATTTAAGGAGAACTCCCTGGACCTTTTAGAGGCAAGAGTGCAAAGCACTCCAGCTGTCGTTACTAACTCTCCGGCCTCGCCGAACCAACAAACTAAACTAAACAAACAAATCAGCAAGCAGCAGCAGCACAAAACCTGAACAGAAGAGGCAGCAGCTTGCAAGGTCATCTACCCGAGATGGCTCCCCACTAGTACGGTCAAGCACACTGGCCACACCGGCCCTAAGGGTACATCGCGGCCTCGCAATAACAACATCGCAAACGAGGCCCTCCCAACCGGAGCAGAACCAAATGGCCTCCGAGGAATTCCCTCCCCGTGTTCGGAGTCCAGGGGCAGAAAAACAGGCACGGCGGTCACTCCGAAAACTCCCTCCCCAACACCGTGCCCCTTTGACGGGTCCCCCCACACCATGTGAAGCAATTGAAGCACTCGGTTCATGCTCAGGGCGTAGGGGCCGGCGGCGCTGTTGGAGTTACAGCGCCGTTGCATTCACGCTGGCCGCAAACGTTGGGCACGGAATTTCCAGCGACGGCGCTCGCTTCTTCGTTGCTCTTTGCCAGGGAAGACGCGTCTTATTAAGTTGCAGGGATCCCCAGCGCGCACCGGCTCGTGAAGCGTGGATAATAGCCCTCCCGTAATCGACGTCATCCTCGTCGATCACGTTTATGCCGCACCTTTCAATTCCCTGCGAGTCTCGAGGTGCGCACCAGCCTATCGGGGCGATGGGGGGCGGAGGAGGGGGTCATGTGGGTAGCCAGCAGTCATTGTGCAGAGGTGTAGCTTGCCAAACAAATTTACTCGCATGCCATTTATTTATAATCTTATAAGAATTCTGGCAACGGTGTCGGCTACTCTTTTGGCGTCCACTTTCGCAGCAGACGGCACAGTGTGATAAAAAAAATACTCTGCAGCATTATTGGATGGTTGTTGGGATTTCAATCCATTAAAGCCTGGGCTATCTAGCTGTCGATCTAACATCAACATGTTCGATTTCTGTTACATTTGTCGCTCAAATTAATGGTGCAGGACGTCTTCTGTTGAGCGCAGCTCCACTCCGCCTTTCCTCCACCTCACCCGCAGAACACACCGCCCACTTTCAAATTAAACGTTTTGATTTGCAATTCTTCAGCTCCGCAGCAGTAGCACTCAAATAAAGTAGCACAATAGCCTCCCACCTTCTAAATCACGCCGTCCCCAATCGCCTTAAAGCGTAGTGGCGAGGACGGAGAAGAAGAAGAATATGAGGGAGTGGTTTACCGAAGAGCGCGTCGAACCCTCGTCCATAAATAATGCAGTGTGGTGAAGATAGTCGGTGGGGCCGCCGTTCCATTACTCTAAATCTATGACCATCATTGACTTCCCGTAACCCGGTGGCCCTGTCCCCATCCTTCCGCGCACCACGGCACCTCCCCGGCGTTCCGAGAGCCACGGAACGACTCACGCCGCGCAGGTGACAGTGTCGACCCGTTCCTTGCTGGACGGCGATTACACTCCCCCCACCCCCACCGCCCCACCCCACCTCCCCCCCGCCACCCACCTCCATCAGTGCCCCCACACAATAGAGCCAGATGGTGAGGGCGAGGTGCACGGTTGGTTCATAACGCGCTGTCGGCTTCCCTACCGCGGCACTGCTGAGAGCCTTCTTGTTCAGCAGGCAAGTGAAGCCAAGCCGAGCCCCACCAAATTAACCCACATTGACGGAGACGTACTGCTTATTGGGAATGTGCGTGTGACTGTTGTGAGGGGTATTGGTCTGAAAATGTCAATATAATTTGCCTTTAGTAATAAGCTCTTGGATGAGCAGAAAGCAAAACAAATATATTCATCACATTTTTCCAATTAGATATTAGAGTGTAGAATAATAACTATTTAAGAGGGGGGGGGGGGAGAATAATAAAAACAATTACATTGGTTTAGATTAGATTTAAATGGCATGGGTCAGCCAGCCATGTACTCCTGTAAAATTGAACAATGAGGCAAGTAATTTAACATGGTAGTTGTTGCACCGCTCTACATCGCAAGGGATTCGATGGCTGTTAGTGGAAATTGAAAATGCATAAGGTTCGCTAGGCTTGTACGACAAAAATTAAAATGCAAATCCCGACTCCTGCAGATCTTTGTTCACATCCGCATGGCCCGACCGTAAAACAAGAAACACCATGCCGAGCAGCAGCACAGGCCACGTGTCGTCACGATAAGACACAATCCAAGACGATGAAAACTGCCATTGGTACTATCAACTCCAAAGTAATAAACGTTAACGTGCAATCATTCCAGAGTCTTTATATTTTCACCGTGTTGGCAGGGAATCCTCATCGGCGAAACACAGTGCCCAGAACCTCTCGAGTGCAATTGAATTTGTTACATTCTATTTATATTGATTTTGTTGCAAAGTAACATGACACGATCTGCCTTCCAATGAACGGTTTAATTTCCACATCGTCACAACACTGCCTCTAAACACAATTTAAAAGGCTAATGTTAATGTTGCCCGCAATAAACGTCATAGGAAAAATATATACGGCGCATAAGCTTTCAGCCAGACTGCCAAACCAAACGACCTTTTCATTCACAAGCCAAAGAATACGTATTACTGTATTGCAATAAATATTGATTAAACACTACTGCGCATAAAGCAATCGTCGACATAAACGGATACATAATATTCCTTTTGGCAAACCCCACGCTAAAAATACACCGGTTTCTGCAGGGTATTTTATGTTATTTTTCTCAGAAGAACGGTTAAATGTGCATAACCTGGTCGAGAGTAGCTATGAAATGCCACCGTTTTCATTGCTAAGTAAATTAGGAGCCCCATTCTGGCTTTCTACCATGGCCATTGAGGTTTTTTTCTTCCTTAATTCGTGCCCTTGGCAAAAAAACAAAAAGTTACAGCTGTGCTGAACCAGCCGCGTGTACATTTATATGTACGGTGGGGTGGTGTGGATGTTTCTCAAAATGTAGCAGCAGCAGCAGCATCCAGGTTTTAGATGAAAAAGGAATAAAACACTGCTGCTGCTACTGCTGCTGCTGCCCTCCCTTGCCACCATCATCGCTTACCCCACCATCCCCCACTGCCTTTCCACCCCCTGCCATCAACCCTGGAGACGCAGCAGATGGGAAGCGGGGATTTCTTTTTTACCCCATCCCTTGACAATCCCCTTCATCCTCCGCCCTGCTAACTCAAAACTGAATCAGTGCCTGAGCTCTATGCAACTACACACACACACCCGCACACATGCATGTACACACACACACAATGACAAAGATCCCAACATCGCCTATATGGGCTGTTGGGGGCAAGCGCTGTTCGTGAATACCGAAAACGGTCGTAAAACAAACAGAGACAAAGATCCCCAGAGTATGGCATTTGCTGGACTATTTCCGCGAGTGCGGTTAGCGAGCACCCACGAAGGCCGGCACGGCACACGAGAGGGTGGGCGACCAGCACCACGCCCGGCCGCCTTTATCTCCATAGTGGCGATGTTTACACATCGCACTAGGTGAGGCCCAGGACCGGTTCCGATAATCGTCACTTGTGTTTGCCGTGGGGCCGGAATCGAACTCGGGTCGCTGGGTTCATAGCGCAGCGCGCTAACCGCTACGCTAATACACGTACAAAGACAAACACCTCCCGTACAGCCTTTAACAGACTGTCAGGGTATGGTCTATTAGGCAGCACCTCTCAAGGCCGGCACAGCGCACATGGGGATGGTGTAACCGGCACCACGCCCGGCCGCCTTTGCTTCCGCAGTGCATGGCTAGGTCTAGGGGAGCCAGGAGTGATACAGATATCACCTGCTACCGACGTTAACTATGGCCGGGAATCGAACTCAGGTGGCCGAATTCGAAGCGCTGTGCCATAACCACTGCGCGACCACGCGCGCACACACACACAGCTCCATCACAACATGTGCACGAGCGCCAATGGGTTGTTTGAATGTAGACGGGCTGCCGTCCGTAGTAGTCGTGCTGCACGTGTGCAGGTGTTATGGATACTGCATTCGAAGGCTACACAGGAGCACACAGGGTTGTAGCGCTGCACGCGTGCTGCACATAACCTCAACGAGATTTCACCGGACTTTTAAAATTCATACACGCCACCACCATCACGAACCGACAGCGGCATCATAAAAACACACACAACCATACACACACAATGCGTGACCGAGCCAAATTAAAGAACCCGATATTCCTCCTTGTGTATGCAGTCTTTGTGCGTATTGACAAATGCTGTGTCATGCCTGCTGAGATTTACCGCTGGATAATACATCGTCATGTAAGCTCGACTCCATCGCGTTTCAGCAACGCAGACCGAAGCGTTTACACGCTGCAACTCGCGTTGCGATACTCCATGCAGATTACGGGGCTGCATTACACGATCACACTGCGGCGGGACCACCACGCGAGCCGTGCGGCAGGACGGGAGCCCCGCGTCTCCCGGCGTCTCCCGGCGTCTCCAACCCCCCCCCCCCCCCTCCCTGTCACGTTAGGCAGCGCGCCGTCCGCCGCGTGTGTTTGTGCGTGCGAACAGAGAGAGACTGGAGCACACTAACCTGTCTGTCCCTTCCCCAACGTCTTCTCCAGTCTGTACGGCCCTACGTACTGGGCATGTTGCGCTCCTCCGCCCGCATCCTTAGCCGAGGACATCTTTCTCCTTCTTGCCCCTTCCTTTAGGCTCTCCTAGGTCCCGTCGTTGGGGAAGGGAAAAAAATAAAACGAAACACAGACGCACAAGCGAGCGCAAAGATCCCCGGGCTGAGTCGCAAAAAAGGTTACAACTCTGCCTCGCTTCCTCTCCCCTTCATTTTGCTGCCCGCTGAAGGACAGCAGCCATCCGCAGCGCCGAATCCGGGTCTCCAGCCACAGCCCCCTCGCTCCCTGCCTCGCCGTATCTCATTAAAAAAGACCTCGGCTGTGGCTCGCTGGCTCCGCTGCCGGCTCTGCATGCTACATACGTGATGACAAGCGAGCGAGAGAGATGGGAGGGGGTGTAGGGAGGGGGTGTAGGGAGGGGTGGAGGGGGAAAGAGCGAGAGCGCCTCCCTTTTCCCTACGTGGTCACTTATGCAGCAATGGGGCTTCTAACGGCATAGTGCCACAACGTTCGACTTGCGCACCCAATCGTCCGAGGGTGTTTTTTGTTATTGTCTGTGTGTCCTCATAGGGCGCAAGCCTTTCTTGCGCGCCTGTCTGTTTGCATGCGCGCCTGTACTTGCGCAGTTCTCTTATTTCAATTGTGCTTGTTGATATTCTACGTGCGATGGCGTGCGTAGATCGTTAGCCGGGTGATTCATGCGCCCGCGTTCGCGAGCGGCGAAGGCAGGAGGCCGTGGTGGTAAACGCGCAGTACTACAACACGGCCTGCTATCATGACACGGGTCCCGTATTCAGCACCACGGAGAGCGCTCTTGATCATCTGCGGCAGCGATGCCCTCTGCAGAGAATCGCGGGCAGCTGCGCGCCTTACGTAACGAGCTTGCCAATTGCTTGCAGCTGTATTGCCTTGGCACTCTTCCTATTCGCATTTCGTATGAGGCGTACACAATCAGGTGCGGGCTGCGATGTGTCCGAGAATCCGAAGACGTTTGTCGTTCTAGAATTTATTATTGCGCGCATCCATCCCTTTAAAGTTAAATGTGCGCGTGCTACAAATGTTATTGGTGAATGAAGACGTGTCCTCTCGTTGCTGCCAACGACCGTTTACATTGAACAAAAAAAAGGATGGAGGGGTCGCCTTTGATATAAAGGATAGTATGAAGACACCGAAGTGCCGCTATGAGTATTCATCGGATGCAAGTTTTGTTTGACCCTACAAAAATATTGTTATACATTGCTCAGCAACAAAAAAAACATAACCCCTTGTATTGAGTGGTTGCGCAGATACGTGGTGTTTCGAGATAGGGCTTATTCAAGCATCCCGTGTGCAATCTTACAAACCGTCGATCGAATGTTTACAACAACAACAAAACATACAAGCAAACAATAAGCCACGGCATGTGTGTACGATAGTATGATGAATCGTCACTTGCTGAACCAGTTTGGGTGATCCCAGGGTTTAATTTCAAGCCCCTCCCACCGCCCACCAACAGCAGGGGAGGGGCGAAGAAATATATATTTTTTCAGAGTTCAGTACCCGGACAGCACTCACTGAAGATCAAACCCTAGTCCAGTAATTCTAAACCTGGGGTGGATGTACCCCCAAGGGGTGCGACACAAGGCCAGCTTTTTTCAAAGGTAAATAATCGAAAACACAAATTAAGCAAGGGCATGTAAGCTCAACTACTTTGTTTCATCAAACCAATGTATTTACATACCGTCAACCCATACATTTTACCCGTATTCTTGTAGAAGGAAATTGAGTTTTCAGGTCCATACGACGCATACAGCCGTTTCAATACGGGCAAAAAAAGTGTTTGTTTGTGTTTCTCCCTTGTGATGGGACTTTGTAGGATGAACTTTGATAAGGGGTTGACAGGTATGTATTTATTAACATACTTTTTTACGATTGAGAACAAAAGTGGTGCAAAGGCTGCAGTAAAGGTTAAGAACCACTGCCTTAGCCGTTCCCAAATAAAAAACTGCATGACGATGTCTACGCTCTTGAATAAAGAACAAATGGACGCGATACATCATCCACTCCAAACCGAATAGCAATTGCTTCATCACACCTTAACTTACCGTGAAGCACACAGATAAGTAAAGCGACTTGTGGGGTCCCAAATTCAAACCCAAAGGGACGCTGCTGCTGCTGCTGCTGCTGCGATCACACTGTGTGTCCCTGTGTTTAAATCATTCACACAGATAAAGCTTAAACGCCCACGGCTGACTGATGATTATCAACCTCCACGTGTCGGAGCTGTACGCGAAGGCCTGACGAACAACACATGTATATATTACAATATCTTGTAATCGGCACTGCACTCAAGTGACACGTACTGAGTTAAACTGCAGGCTATTGCTGGTGAAATTACCCGATGTTAAAATACTGATTGATCCCTTTTTGACATGAATCAGTCCCTTATAGTTGTCAAAGTGTTAGGGAAACCGGTTTAAACCTCGTTCTTTGAAAACAATTTAATAAAGTCTGTAAAACTAAAACGCCTTGCCCTGAGTGTCATTTTGTGATATTAATTGACGCCTAGAGTCGCCTACACATGAAATACACTTCCCCATATATTTTGAAATACGTTGTATGTATGTTGAACTTATTTCTCACCGTACGTAGCCAACTGTGTTACTCGGAGGTGCGGCAAGCGTGCACTTTTATAACACGAGTATAACTACAACGTGCTAGTGCTCATTCAACAACAGGCGCGTTCAATTGGCAACAGTCTCCACTTAATTCAATTAACTGAAATATTAACTCGCCATAATGCTGGGTAACCGCCTACGAGAAGCCCTCGCTGAGCCGCCACTGGTGGATGCCGACGACGCTTAATTTGTGCTGTTCCAGCGCGTGTGAGATGCCAGCTTACTCGCCCGTGATAAAGTCCCTTTTGAGAAATGTAAACAGCGAAATGCATTTTAATCTTTTGTTCCTTTTGGGATTTAGCCGTTTGGCGCCAGTGGGGTGAGTTATGTGCGCCCGTTAGCGCTGCCTCACTTTTAAGTTACAAATGTTTTTTAATTGTCATTATTATTGACAATTAATTTAATGGAATTGAGTTAAATTACTCGCACTACGACACCACAGGCCATGTAATGGAAAAAAATAATAATAATTGCTGCTGCTACTGCTTCTGCTTCAGTGATCCTACTAACTTTAAGAAAAATAATGCAAAAGCGATTAATATTTCCCCCGACACAATTGTCTCTCTCGAAGAAGGGTTCCTCCTCGAGATACAATTATTATTTAAACCAGACCAATGTTACAGTTGAGCACTCGGTAATACATTAAATACATGTTTCTGTCACCAAGCCGCGTAAATATGAGATAATTTTTTTTATTCCATCAGCAGCACTGACCATGGAGTAGAGAGAGAGATAAAGATCGCTCGTATAGCCTTAACACACTGTTGGGGCAAATTCTGTTAGCGCGCACCTGTGAAGGGCGGAACGGCACACGAGGTGGGTGGGTGGCCAACACCACCACCACGCCCGGCCGTCTCCCCAGTGGCGATGTTTTCACACCGCACCAGGTACTCATTTGAGGCTGAGCCGAGCTAGGGGAGGCCCAGGACCGATACAAATAATCGTTACTGGTGTCTAGCCGTGAGTGGGAATCGAACTCGGGTCGCCTGGGTTCGTAGCGCAGAGCGCTAACCGCTACACCACCACTCCCTACACAGCACCGCTCCACGAAGAGCGAGAGACCACTTACCAACAGACATCTGGTAAACACGATCTGTTGAGACTCTGCTGATGAGCCCCAGGATCCGATCCATAGCTTGGAATGTTTAAACAAATACCGCTAACACTTGCCTGGAAGGCCAATAGGCCGACAGACTACAATATATTGTACAGTACGTGGATATAAAGGCAGGTGCTTACGTTTGGTATTATAGTAATCATTAGTTCAAGAGCATTGTACGTACAAAATAAATACAGAGGGTGCAGAGGACATGCCGAACTCGGGTTAATGTTGGTAAAACTGGTTATGTTTGTGAATCGATGTTTGTGTAAATTACCACGAAAGTGGCTACAGGCACCAGATAATCCTCATGATCTCTGTCCTGTTCGTTCCACTCGATTGCTTTTCTCATCAGGGCACCGACGGCACGCGGTCGCGTCCTGCGCCGTGATGCGATTCATGCCACAAGGCCACGCATCACCCACATAAAGCTAGATTAAGAAAACAATCCGGATTAAAGCATTCCCACACACGCAATTCCACGCATGTATCATGAGCTTTAGAATCAATATTACCTGATTCCTGCAGTCACGAAAGCTTCAAATCAAGATTGCCTGATTAATTGATACATCATTATATCCCTACCAAATATCTCTTTGCTTACACAGTTCACTGTGCACATAGATAAGCAAAGGTGAGTGTACTGTGCTCTTAACCTGGCCATCCCGGTCATGGCTCACATCCAGGGGCGGAGCCACAGGGGGGGCTGGCGGGGGGGGGCTCAGCCCCCCTGAAATTTTGGGAAAGTCGGTAATCGGGATAACCGGATATCCGGCTGCTGCAAAATGCTGCAGGCTGCCACCTTGTGCTGCCCTGCAGGCTGCTTGAGCGGCAGCCTTTCGAACTTATCGAACTTATTAGCCACATCAGCGGCTCCGACCTATTAATAAACTCCGCGTTCCAATCCAATAAAATTTGTTTTATACATTTGTGGCGTCCATTGGAAAACATTACACTGGATATCTCAGAATATTGAAGTCAGCCCCCCCAAATTCAAAATCCTGGCTCCGCCCCTGCTCACATCAGCAGCCAAGCGACAGCTGAATCAGTCCTGGGCCACCCTTTTCATTAACTCGCACTGATCAGGGTGGTGAAGTATGGTCAAGAAACTGCCATGACCAATGTGACATGGGGAGACCCTCATCCAGCAGTGGATTGACAAAATGCCATGTGTTGTTAGTGCACACAGCCTCTTGAAAACTGTGGATATAGGACTAATTTAGCAAACCTTGGATAGTACATTTGCGATTGTTCATAATGGGTGACAAGATACACAGGATGCATGTCGATGCAAGCGTAAGGCTAGCGTGTATCTGCGAGGCTCTACAAGGATGTCGGGTGAACTGGCAGCACTCTTCCTCGGTCAACCGTACCCACTTTTAACATCGCTACACCCACAGAATCACTATCCCCTCCAGTAGAGCGGCCTTGCTCTTTCTGACATTGGCCCCGGCTACTGCTCGCATGCACCGCCTCACTCCTCTGCCAACTCAACCCCACTATTCAAAAAGCCCCATCCTTTTGCCCCCATATTAATGAGTCGAGCCGAGGCCAGAAACTTTAGAAACCGAAACAAAATCCCAGATTTTGACAAATACTTTGTGACGCCGCGGCTTTAACTAAGCAAGTGGGCACAAGTTATGTCAAC